GATAAGGCTAGTTAAAGCCATTGCACGACTCATGCGATGTGTCAAAGAGCTCAAGGGTCTGATGTGCAGAACAAACGAAGTCACCAGTCTTGATGAGAGGAAAGAGGCAGAGTTTTTCATCATAGCTACTGTCCAAAACGAACTGTTTTCCGAAGAAATCAAAGACCTGAAATCGAAGGAGACAATTACAAGAGATCGTGCGAATAGACTGCGCAAACTGAATCCCTTCTTGGATGAAAAGGGTGTGTTAAGAGTGGGAGGTCGGCTGGAGCATGCAGATTTACACCCACACATCAAACACCCAGTGGTCTTACCGAGCAAAACTCACATATCAAGGTTACTGATTGAACACTTCCATCAAAAGGTTCATCACCAGGGACGTGGGATGACTATGAATGAGCTGCGATCAAATGGCATTTGGCTACTAGGATGTAGTCACGCAGTGTCCTCCTACATCTACAAGTGTGTCAAATGTAGGAAATTCAGAAGGAGTGCTGAAGTACAAAGAATGGCAGATTTACCGCGTGAAAGAGTTGAAACAGCGCCTCCCTTTGCCTATTGTGGAATGGACTGCTTTGGCCCGTTTCACGTTAAGGAGGGAAGAAAAGAGCTTAAACGCTACGGTCTGCTATTCACATGTCTGTGCTCTCGTGCTGTGCATATAGAGCTTCTCGACGACATGACCAGTGATGCCTTTATTAATGCTCTTCGAACCTTTATCGCCATACGTGGAAGTGTTCGACAGCTTCGGTCAGATCAGGGCACCAACTTTGTTGGAGCAAGACGAGAGTTCTTGGAATCTACAAAGGAAATGGACCAAGAAAGCCTAAGGAAACTAGGTTGTGAATTTATCATGAACCCAGCATCTGCCAGCCATATGGGTGGGGCCTGGGAAAGGCAGATCAGGACGATTAGAAGTGTTTTGACATCCATTCTGGATCATTCATCCAAAAGACTTGACACTTCATCCTTGCGTACCTACCTTTATGAAGTCATGGCGATCATAAATAGTAGGCCTTTAACAACTCACCTGTTGAATGATCCCACTAGTCCACAGCCTCTTACGCCGAATCACATCCTGACCATGAAGTCTTCAGTGGTTTTACCACCACCTGGTGAGTTTGTGAAGGAAGACCTTTATCTTCGCAAGAGATGGCGCAAGGTGCAATACCTGGCCAATGAATTTTGGACCAGATGGAAATCGGAATACTTGCTGAATCTTCAACAGAGAGAAAAATGGTACAAAACACAGAGAAATGCCAAGATCAATGACATTGTGATGCTGATGGATAATAGTCTACCCAGAAATGAGTGGAAGTTGGCAAAGGTAACCAAGGTGTACCCTAGTGAGAATGGAATTATTAGGAAACTCAAGCTGCTAATCAGTGATGCGACATTGGATGACCAAGGGAAAAGAGTTAATAAGCCAGTGTATCTCGAGAGACCCATCCACAAAACAGTTACCCTACTTGAAGCTGAATAGTTCAGAACTCCTGTCTCTGTAACTTATGTTTGACCCAAGAGACTATCTACACCTTTTTTTTTTGATTGCAACGAAGTTCAGTTGAAAATCACCAGTGATTTGGTGGGAGTGTGGCTGCCGTCAGCAGCAGTTATGCAGTTTAAGATAATTTCAAGGTTTAAGTTACAATAAATAAGTTAAAAATACTTTAATTTTTAATATATTAGATTTAATGTATACATTGTCGGTTTAAAATACACATTTGAAGGTTTTACAGAATGTTTCCAGGGTGGAACCAATGTTCAGTCTGTTGTTTGGGGTTGACAATATTTTCAGTTGCACGCCACACTCGATAGAGCGCAGCATGCGTTCTTCTCTCTCTCTCGGTGGCAGAGCTATGCAGAAGCATGCAACGAAGTTTTCCAGCAGTGAAAAGGAGTGACACTGTAAATTGTGTTTTCATTAACCCCTGCAAGTTAATGCGGCCAATGAGGTATGCAATTTGTATTTTATATGTTGTGGTAGAAAAATAAGATGTTTATGTGTGACGGAACTGTCGAGTTTATGGTAGTCAAGTGTAATATGTTAACACTTGTAAATGTAAAATTGTGAGTGTTTTATCTTGTTTAATAATGTGCTTTATTGTTTATTCTCTATGAGAACAATTTTCTGTGGAAATTGATTATTTTATGTTGTTTGTACAGTTCTCACGGCATCGTCGGTGGCACCTGTGTGCAATAAATGCCAGTAAAAATCAAGAACGCCTTGTGTCCGTTTTTTCATCTTGGAGGGAGTTACAAGTAGGGTTGTTGATGTTGGCACATCTTTAAA